GCCCTCTGCCCCACCTCTTCCAACCGAGCCAGGGCCGGCTAAACGAACCAAGCCCGAGCGTGGCACGGAGCGATCAGACTAGTCAAACGAACCGAGCTTTGGGGGTCAAACGGGCTCGGGCGCACGGTTAAGATTGCCTAGTGTGAGTACATCCTTATTCTCCCGCATCCCACACACACGAGTCTCTACCCGCCCGCACCCGCACTCCCATCAGTGTTGTCCTGCGCTGCACTCTGCTGTGTTGGGTCCCGCGGGAGTCCAGGTCTCTACACGGAAGGTGCCTGTTATGATCGAGGCTCTGGACTCTGAGCATAGCTTGTTTTTCTATAACAAACTATAAAATATTTTCTATAAAAACGTTAATGCCCTGGCAGTGGCAAATAGCTTTGGTTTTATATTTAATAAATATTTTAACTGCTACTATGTAAAAGGAATACTGCTGTAAAAAAACACCTTATTTGTTTAAAGTGTTTGCAAACCAAATGTTATTGCACTTTTGTTCATACAGCAGTAATATTTACAGCAGTAAATTTGTTCATACAGCAGCAATAAAGCATTTTTGAATTCATTATTGAATTTTGTGCATAACAATGCGATTAATGGCAATTAAAAACTTGAATCATTGCCCAGAACTAATATATACTGTATATATATATATATATATATATATATATATATACAGTATATACACACACACACAGTGTGTAGTTAATGCCCTGGTAATTTGATTAAATTAATGTTATACGTTGAGATTTTCAAGAAATATTTTAACTGCTACTATGTAAATGAATACTGCTGTAAAAAAGCACCTTATTTGTTTAAAGTGTTTGCAAACCAAATGTTATTGCACTTTTGTTCATATAGCAGTACTTTTAAATGAAAAAAGTGCACAATACACTACTTTTGAATTCATTATTGAATTTTGTGCATAACAATGTGATTAATCGCAGAAAATCGTTAGATTAATCGTGATGAAAATTTTTAATCGTTGCCCAGCACTAATTCAATGTTTATTAGACATTCAAAGATTTGTTTAAATTATATAAATGCGTATTTGCTGAATGCTGACGGTAAACGAGGAAGCATTATAATGCTTGCCTTTCTATTACTATTGATTTAAAAGCAATCGTTTTAATACTTTTTTGTATACTTCTACTTTAATACTTCTTTTAATTCCTTTGTTTAACAGTTCTATCTGATTATTAGATGGACTTCTATCCGTATTAGACAGAACTGAATGATGACAGCGAACAAGAGGGAGAATGTGAGCACTGTGCTCAGGCGCTGCCGCAGCGAACACATCGGCCAAACAGAAAAACTTATCGGCCAATGCCGATATTAACAGTTCTATCTGATTATTAGATGGACTTCTATCCATATTAGACAGAACTGTTAAATGGCAACAGCAAACAATCAAGAGGGAGGATGTGAGCTCTGTGTGTCAAAATAAAAGTCCTGCCTCGAACACATCGGCCAAACAGAAAAACATATAGGCCGATGCCGATATTTGAAAAATGCCAAATATCAGTCTTGGCGATATATCGGTCGACCACTAGTCTGAGTTTGGAGAACGTTGCTTGTCTGACTGCATTGTGCCAACTGTAAAGTTTGCTGGAGGAGGGATAATGCTATGGGGCTGTTTTCAGGGGTTAGGCTAGGCTCCTTACTTCCAGTGAAGGGAAATCTGAGTGCTTCAGCATACCGAGACGTTTTGGACAATGCTGTGTTTAAAACTTTGTGGGAACAGTTTGAGGAAGGGCGTTTTTTATTCCAGCATGACTGTGACCCAGTGCACAAAGCAAGGACCATAAAGACATGGCTGGAGGAGTTTGGTGTGGAAGAACACAGAGCCCTGACCTCAACCCCATCCAACACCTTTGGGATGAACTGAAAAGGAGATTGTGAGCCAGGCTTCTCAACATCAGTGCCTGACCTCAGAAATGCTCTATTGGATGAATGGGCAAAAATTCCCACAGAAGCACTCCAAAATCTTGTGGAAAGCCTTCCCAGAAGAGTGGAAGCTGTTAGCTGTTAACGGGGACCAACTCCATATTAATGATGTATTTAGAATGAGATGTCATTAAAGTCAGACGTCCCAATACTTTTGTCCATATGGTGTATCACATGGTGAGGTGGGACAATTGAAGACACATGCGTCATTATTTGATGTAAAATGAGCATGAAGTTTTAAAAGGGGGAAATAACAGGGAAATTCTGGGTTGCCTTTCTAAAGCCTGCTTTTAACCCAGAGCAGTTTTTTTTGTAGTATTCAACATGTACAGTGTGAAAAAATAATACAGTTAAGATATTACGTCTCAAAGCTACAGACACCCAATCACACGCCTCATTCACAGGCATGTCAATGTGTGGCATAAACAATAGTTTCAATGCTTGAGGGGAAAACTGACAAATGGTGATGGAAAAAATGTGAACTGAAGTGAAGAAGAGACCATTTCATTCTTCCCTTTATAGTCCAAAAAGTTCATGCAGGAAGAACTTAATAGTATAGTATAGTACAATATATAATATGAGGATGTGCGAAGCTAGAGTCTGTAAGTAAACGGGTCGAATGCCGCGTTTGTCCAGTTACTGCAAATAAGATCATTAACCCAGCTTTTAGGAAGGTACAGTGTGAAGCGTCAGTTTATGAATAACACCATTAATTGTTAACCCGGGTATGAGCAACATTCAAACATGAAACAAAATTCCATTTTGGATTCCTTTTACGGGGGTTTAGAATGACCCATAGTTAACTAGATTAATTGTGCAGTGATTCCGGGTACAGCGGCGTTACGGAGTCCACTGAGACCCATGCATGATGGGATCGATACAGACACTCGCTTTGATTTCTTGTTACCTAATTGAATGACATTCTGACATTTTGAAGTGTGACTCAATTGTTTAGAGACATTTTAGGGCGGCGGTATGTTGAAGGAAAAGTCACTTTCCTTTTGTCATCTGTCCTTAGTGAAAAGATCGAGTTATTTGTGTAGTTCATGTTTTTATAACTGTAAGTGTTCACGCATGTTGTGTTTGCAGGCTGGGAAGCCCAATCCCATGGTGAAACTGTTTGTAGTCAATCTGTACGGACCGACACACACTCTTGAACTCACACCACCAGATGAACTCAAGCTCAGGTATGGAGTTTGTGTGTTTGGGTCTGTGGTGGAGACTCAGGCGATGCTATGATGCTCTCTGTGTCTGTAGGGAGCACTATGTGGTGATGGTGAAGTGGATCAGTAAGACCAAGACAGCAGTGCGCTGGTTAAACCGAGCACAGAACGTCTCTATTCTGACCGTCTGCGACTCCACCACTGGAGCCTGCATCAAGGTACATGCATCACACACACACACACACACACACACACACACACACACACACACTCACACTCACTCATTCTGACACACACTCAGTCACTCACACACACTGACACACACTCAGTCACTCACACACACTGACACACACTCAGTCACACACACACACACACACACACTCAGTCACTCACACACACTGACACACACTCAGTCACTCACACACACTGACACACATACACACACACACACACACACACACACACACTGAGCACAGAGCAGAGATGATAATGTGTTTTATAGCTGAATTTGTCTATGTCATTGTCATGATGATGATGATGGTGATGTTTCTTTTCAGAGGCATGAGGAAACATCAGAAGTTTGGCTCTCAAAACAGGTGAATCTCCACTAGATGTTTGCATCATGATCTTCAGTCACATGAGTTTAATGCATCTCTGGCTGGTTCTCTAGAATCAAGAGCCGTTCTTCTCACGAGACGGCAGCCGCTTCTTCTTGACGGTCCCGGTAAAGCAGGGAGGACGAGGAGACTTCCACCACGTCGCCATGTTCACCTCTCAGGTACAGATATGGCAGGACAGAGCGATGCGGATGCATTTGAATCTGTGTACATGATCAAGAGCGTGTTGTTATCCTCATGTGTTTATGTAGGCACGTGTGGATCAGAACGAGGTGCGACATCTTACATCAGGTAACTGGGAGGTGACGCAGATTCTGGCTTACGATGAGAACAGCCAGAGCATGTGAGTAAAACATCAACCTGAACCCCAATGTGTCACGATATACACACCAGGCCTCTCTACAGCATAACACACGTTTCCATCAAATAATGAAGTGATCAGCAAATGTGATCTAACTGTATTACATGTGATCACAGTGTTTTGAAACCACTATAAATCTTAGTCTGTTCTAATGCAGATATTTCCTGAGCACTGAGGGCTCCTCGACCCGCCGGCAGCTCTTCAGGTGAGATTCATGTCTGTTTGTGTCCTTTCCTCCAGAAACGTTCATCAAATGCGCTCCTCAGAGTAAAATTATTCATGAAATACATCAACACTGTGTACTGAATTACAGTTTTTCTTGATTGTTAACACAATTCATGAAACAATTCACCATTTTCTCACAACTATAAACACAATCTCAAAACTACAGACCAACTTGTGCAAACTTCAAACTTCCAGGTCAAAATCAAATAGTTTAGTCAAAAACATGTTCTGTTTTGTCAGACTCAAACTTTGGCCTCAGATGATACACAAACCTGTCAAATACACAGACTACTTCACTGTCTAGATAACACTAGTGAGATCAATTCAAAACACTGTTCCAAAAACCTCCTTTTGGGAAACAGGAATCTTTTTGCTATCAATGACTGTTACAGTATACAACATAAATAGAGGTGTGCAGATACAGTAAACACACATTGGAATATACTGTCAGTTACTGTAATTAAATAAATAAATAAATTAATTAATTCATTCATTCAGCATCCTCTGCCAAACTGCATCACAGTATTGGTATTATCCTTATTTGTTATAGCAGTTTCTTAGTCTTCTGACAAAAGACTTCTCTACCTCCCCTAGACAGCCGTCTCTCAGTTTTGCACAAATACAGTACATACTTGTCTACAAATCAGTCCAACAGTAATGAGTTTGAGGGTGTACTGTACAACATGTGCTACAGTATTTACTGTACATAGAATAATGAAAGTTCTCTCATCTGAAGTACTGCTACTATGTACTGTAATTATATAATACACAAAAGTGTATTGTGTAAGTAGTATTGAAACCCTGTAGATGAGCTGTAGTAGTGCTGGGCGGTATGACCAAAAATTTATATCACGGTATTTTTAAAAATTATACCGGTTTCACGGTACATGACGGTATTTTTTTTTCATGCATGACCGGGTGTTAACAATATTTTCTACTGATTGAGAGAGGAAATACTGCAGTATATTGACTTAGAATGCCCTATTTTGTCATGATGAGTGAATATTGTCAAAAAATACTACACTAGATAGTGACTAAACACGACCCCTTTTAATACGTTAACCAGGAGTCACTCTCATTTATAATCGTGGCATCGTCTG